TAGAAAAATTTCTCTCCTACACCTTTCCTTCATACTATCTGCACCTCACCGTGAAAATGCCCCTCACACACTGAAATTCATCCATTCCCTGGTTTGTGCCCAGGCCACACCTCTCACTGGCTGCTCTCACTAATGGCTGAGTGCACTGGAGGCCAAGCTGGTCCTGGAAAACAGGTGGGACTCCTTTGTCTGCCCACTTAAGCTGGAGGATTTCCCTGTGGCTTTGCCAAACCTTCCTCAGACTGCACAGCACCCTGGGGTGCTTCCATTCAACCTCTCTCCCTCCCACCTTCTCTCCCAATCTCTGGGCAGACTTGGATACAGTCTGACAGCTATTCCTGCATTCCCAGCTCCCTCTCTATTTCTTTTTGTATAGGCATTTTCCTCTAATAAAATCCATACATATTTAATCCTGTCTTGGTAACTGCTTCTCTGATATCCCAGACTAACATGATGAAAAATGGGAAAGTGGAGATATCGGTCTTATTTTTTAATATCTGGGTTGTATAATATCTGGTTCTTATGCATTAAATTAGATTCTGACATTTTAAACTCAGGTCTGGGTCTCTTCCAGCTTTGCCAGTGAGTGCATGGTGTGGAAAAGGGTATATGTCCTGTGGAACCTCTTGGTTCGTCAATGCTCCAAGGCCACAGGGTAGACTCCTAACTTCACCCACCATTTTATTGTTTGCCCCAGCCAAAAGGGCATTTAGGCAAGAATGATGAATCAATGCAAATCCAACACGTCTTCTAGAAAAATACCTTAAAATTTTTTTTTTCTTTTACTTATGGAGGGTGGGACTTAAGTGTCACCTTTGTACACACAAAACAAATTATATTGAGTGTTGCATTTCAATATCAAGTGCTGGGGATGATTCAAATGCAGATTCACATTTCACTTTATCATTGAAATGGAATATACATTATCCGAATATCCTAGAAAATAATCAATGCTGTGGAATGAAAGACACTTGGAAATTTCTGATAGAAAGGCCACGAGCACCAGTAACTTACAACTTCTGGAAACTGCCCAGGGTTCTCGTGTCATGGCCATGTTCTTGGTTTGCTTCTGTCTCACTGATACTTTAACTAAAAGGTAATACAACTCTAGGAAAGTAAAACTTCACATTACCTTGTAGTGTGTTAAGTGGAAAGAACCATAGCCTGGGAGGTAGAATATCTGCATTTGAGTCTTGGCTCCACTATATGATAATTCTCAGGAGCTTGGGTAGGCCACTTACCCTCTTTAAGCTTCAGTTTCCTTATCTGTAAGATGGGGATACAAATCCCTGACTCACACAGCATAAAGCTTAAAT